GTGGGGACATGCACCACAACAAAGAAAAGGGTTGAAAATCGGTACTCCAAACATTAGTTCGGCGTAGACATGCATCTTTGCCTAGAAATAATAGTAAGCATTAATGTAAATCTAGAAATAAAGTTGAAAACACAGCCAAAGAAGACTTTATAATTGTCACGTTGTTCACACTTCACCAAAAAGTCTTCTACTACTAAACAAAAAGAGTTGGTAATTACAAGAAGACACAAGAAAAAGGCATGTTTTTTTTTATATAAGAGGTAATAATGTATTGGTGGGAGAGTTTTGGCCATTTCTTAAATACTTCTTTTTATTTTAGTGGAATCACATGGTATGTTACGAAAGGTAGTGGTTGGGGAAAAAAAGAAGAAAAATATTAGTGGTTAGACTTATAAGGTCTCGTGTTTAATTTCGAATGGAGACAAAAATAATAAGTGATTTTTCTCACATTTTTAAATCTTAATGGATAAAATTATTTGGTATTTATTGCAGGTGAAAAGTAATAGATATTTTTGAAATTAATCGAGATACACACAAATCGGTTCGGACAATACGGTTATTAAAAAGAAGAAGAAGAATATAGTATATAAGGTGCATTGGTTAGGCATCAATTAAGTTTTTATCATTAGAGACTTTTTTAATTGTTTGTTGACCCATTCTTTTATCTCTTTATCTCTTTTGTTGTTTTCTTTGTCTTTATCTTTTCCATGCCATACCCATGTGAAATGTCACACGTCGTTTTGTGTATGTATTCACATGTCTAGACAGAAATGCATCTTACTCTTTGTAATTTACGTACACGTATGTATTAGGTTGAAATTATTATATACACTTACACTATTTGTACAATTTAGTCAATTATACTAAGTTATACTTTATTAACTAAGTTACTATATCAACTTTGATACAGAAAATCAACTATTGTTATAAGTAAACTCAATTTTGATATCATAACAATTTTTTACATTGTAACTGCACAACCAACGACGNATATATATATATTCAGTGAGAGAGAGTGTGTATGTGTGTGAGAATAAATATTCAAATTTTCAAAGATTTTGAACCATAATATCGAATTCCCGATGATTCAATGATAAAAATCTAAATATTGAGTCAGTCAAATTAAAATTTTGGATACGTAAACTATATGTATGTATCATATTAATCACGATTAAGGGCTTCCAATACTACAACTTTTTATGCAGCTTTTTCTAATCGATCGATATATGAAAACTTTAGTAATATCTAGAAAGGGCTTTCTTTATTTTGGGCTAGAGAACATTTCTGTTTTATTGTTTGTAGGATTAAAGTTATTAAAGGAGATGCCATAATTCAAGTTTTGTTCGAGTACAGAGATGTATTTGCTTGGTCGTATGATGACATGCCGGGTTTGAGTGTCGATTTAGTGGTTCATAAGCTTCCCACATATCCTATTTTTCCACCAATCCAGCAAAAATAAAGGAAGCTTAAGACAGACATGAGTGATAAGATTAAAGAAGAAATCACAAA